GGCCGAGGCTGTGGCCTGCTGCCGCTGCAGGGAGCCCAGCCTGCCCAAGGTCGGGGACTTCTGCTCCGGCAGCTTCCGCCAGGGCTCGGTGCCAGCCTGCAGGGGCGTAGCGCATGCTGTGTGCCGAGCATCGGAGAAGGCCTCCCTGTCGGGGCCTGGGCAGGGAATGGCTTCTGTCTTCGACTGTGGAGTCTTGGTTCCTGGAGAAGAGGGAGGCCCCTCTGACCCCAGGCCCACCGTCTGGCTCTGGCTTTCCAGGCCCGCTGCTGGGGTTGGCTCTCCAGTCCTGTCCCCCTCCTCCAGCAGCCCACTTGCTCCAGACCCCGAGCACAGCCGGGCGTGGTTTAGGTGTGTCTGGGTCCGCCTGTGCTTGTACAGGTTGCTCTGCGTCTTAAAGGCGACACCGCAGGTGGCACAGGGGAAGGGCCTCTCCCCCGTGTGGGAGCGGATGTGCTTCTCCAGGACACTGGGCTTCAGGCAGTCGCGGCCACAGTGTGGACACAGGTGCTTGCCGGCATTCCGCACCTTGCCAGGGCTGCCCAGGGTGGGCCCCAGGCCTGGGGACAGGACAGGCAGAGCTCCCACAATGTTCACGGTCAGTGTGGGAGCCGCAGGCTTCCCCCTCTGGGAGGGGCCAGGTCCCTCAGGCGGCAGCAGGGGGCTAAGGATAAAGGGCATGCTGCCCCCTTCCAGGCTGCCTGTCACTAGTGGGGCACGGGGCTGGAGCCCCCCAGGAGGCACCGTGTGGTACAGTGGAATGGGCAGAGCCTTCAGGAACAGGGTGGGAGCCAGGCCCTGCTCTGGAGGCAGGATAACGGGGCCTAGGGTCAGGCGAGGTGAGGCCTGTCCACCAGGGGCCCCTGGAGGGCCAGGAGTGGAAGCTGGCTGGTCCCTGGCTGGCAGGGCAGGGCAGGTGGGCTCTGGAGCCTCCATTCCACATTGTCTGGGCGGCCCAGGACACCAGGTAACCTGCGGGCAACAACCGAACTTTACCGTGGGCTCATGTCTCCCACCGCACATCTCCCCCCCACCCCCCCATGGCATCCCGCCATCCCTCTGAAGTCTGAGAGCAATCCCCAAGAAGAGCCTCCTTACCCCAAGGTAGGGAAGGAGAGACCGACGCTCAGAGCGCAGAAGTGACTTGACACGTAGCTGATACTCGGCGACATGGCATTCAAAGCCAGATCTGTCCAACTGTTTTTTTTTTTAAGAGATTTTTGGGCATGTGCACTTGCCAGAGAAACAGAACGTGAGAAATCACTGCCCGCAGGAGGGCTGGCCATGCCACAATCCCTTCTCCTCCACTCCTCTCTCAGGATTTTGGGCACACACACAAGTGTCCAGCATGAGCTCAAGACAATGGGAACAGGACTCGAACTGCAGCTGGCCACACGGGAGTCTGGTGCCTTAACCACTGAGCCACCTGCTGCCCCAGCTCTCATTTAACACGTCCAAAGGGAACTCCTGCTTCTTGGCCCACACGCAGGTGCATGGCAGTTTGCGACACCATCCCCTGGCACCTGCAGGGTCTCCTGCAGTGGAGACACTCGCAAAGCATGCCGACTTCATGAAAAAGAAAAGTCACACCGCTCATCCACGTTACCGAAGTTCGCCGTGACTCAGTGCACTCGGGGAAGGTCCCTTCTCTTTCCAGATTTGTAAAATGGACAGAGAATTAAGCCCTTCCCCACTCAGGTTCTGAGTTTCTGCTCTCAGATGAAGATGGTATCGAAGAAAGTGGATCCTAGGGGAAGCTTAACAGATTTGGGGAACAATAATACAACACTCCCAGCTAAATTTGAATGTCAGAGAAACAATGCATAATTCTTTCATACAAGTATGTCCCAAGTATTGCATGAAAATGACTTTTAGTATAAGTATGTCCCAAATCTCATGTGGCTCCTACTTAAACTAAAACATTATGAACTGCTCATCTGAAACTCAAGTATAAGTGGGCACCCTGTATCTTATCTGGTAAAGGAACACTTCCTCAGCCTCAGCACAAGCCTCAAATCTCCAGTCCAAGGCTGGGCTTTCAAAACCCCTCCTGATCCAGTTGGAACAAAATCTGTTCCCTCTAAGGCAGGCAGAGCAGCGGCAAAGGCTAGGCGGAGAGAGAGACCTGGCCATGCTCTTCAAATCATGAAGGAAAAACCAGATGCAATGAGAAAATGTTGGATGGGCCTATGACCAGAGAGTTGGGGGGTACCAATTCATTCCCCAGATCAGTCTTCCCCAGGTACCCATCCCCTAGAAGCTCCATGAGCACTCATCCCCCAGGTCCCCAACACCCAGCCTTCAGCAGTAAGGTGGTCCAAGCAAAGCTGTGGAAGAAGCAGCAGCATGCTAGAGGCAGCTCATCTCAGCCTGCAATGGCATGAGAGCGCTGATTGCTAAATTTCCAGGAATTCCGTAAGCTTGTTGTTAAATACAGCCATAATTAAAAGCCGAATGAAACAAACTTATAGCTAAATATATTATACCAAAAATAAAGGCAGGGTCATCAAGTGGCATGGAAGTTAAGGCGGCTGGATCCACATGGCCAACTTCCCAATTTAAGTCCTGGACCTGGTAGCTTGGAAACAAACCAGGTATTCATGTACGCATGTTCAAAAAGGAGGAGAAAAGAGAAGGGGTTATGGTGTGACCATCCTACTTGGGGTGATTTCTCAGTTTCCCTCTATATATATCCTTCTCTGTCCTTCTCCAGTGAGTACACACACCCTATAACAAACTAATAATAATAATAATAATAAAGGTACTACAACTAGATTCCTACATGCAAAAGAATGAAGTTGAACCCCTACCTCACTCCATATACAAAAATTAATTAAAAATTAATCATAGACCTAAGTGTGAGAACTAAACTATAAACTACTAGAAGACATAGGATTACATTTTCATGTCTTTGGATTTAGCAAATTCTAAGATATGACACCAAAAGTGCAAGCAGCAAAAGATAAAATAAATTTGACTTCAAAATGAAAAAAAAGTTATGTATGAAAGGACACTATCAAGAAAGTGAACTTACAAACTACAAAATGGGAAGAAATATTTGCAAATCATGTATCTGATATATCCAGAATATATAAAGAACTCTTACAAATCAACAACAAAAAGATAACCCAACTGAAAAAAAACAAAAAAAAACTGGGTGTGGGCACTCCCTGGGGGTGGGATGGGGGAAAGAGGGAGAGACAAAGCACCCCTCAGCAGTAATGGCCATGCCACAATCCCTTCTCCTCTGTTCTCCTCCAGGGATTTTGGGCATGCACTCAAACATACCTGGCATGTTATTCAAGTTCCCTGGTTCAGGACTTGAACCATGCCATTGGTCATGTGGGATCCAGCTGCCTTAACCACTATGTCACCAGCTGGCCCCAAATAACCCAATTTTAAATAAGCAAAGGACCTGAGTAAACATTTCTCTGAAGAAGATATGCAATGTCCGAAAGGCCTCACAGCATCAGTCATTAGGGAAATGTATAATGAATACAAACCACAATGAGATATGACTACACAACATCTCGCGTAGCTACAGAAACAATAATAAACCAAAAACAGCAAGTGCTGGTGAGGCTGTGGAAACACTGGAACCCTTCAGCACTGGTGGTTAGAGCACAAAATGACACAGCTCCTTTATAAAATGGTCTGGCAGTACCTCAAGAAGTCAAGCCTAGAATTAGCGTACTCTGCTAGACCTAGCAATTCCACTCCTAGGTAAATACCCAAAAGAACTGAAAATGGCTACTGAAATGAAAATTTGACTTTAATAGTTGCTCTACTAAAAATAGTCAAAAGGTAGAAACAACCCAAATGTCCATTCACTGATGAGTGGACAAAGAAAATGCAGTGTCACAGATGACAGACGTCCCTCAGTAAGAGGGGATTCAGCCCTTACTCATGTGAGCTACACACGGTAGGGGGTGAAAATGTTACACTGAATGAAAGAAGCCAGACACAAAGGTCGCATAATTGGATGACTCCATATGAAAAATTTAAAATAGGTAAATTTAAAGAAGCAGAGTATATGGACCGGCAGTTAGCATAATGGCTATGTCGCTGGACTCCCACGTAGTCGACCGCGGTTCAAGTCCCAGACCCAGTGGCTTAAAACTCACACCAGGCACGTGTGCATGCATGCGTGCCCAAGATCCTGAGAGGAGAATGGAGGAGAAGGAATTGTTGCGTGGCCATCCCCCCTGAGGGATGATTTCTCACGTTCTATCTCTCTGTCTTGCTGGCAAGCACACGTGCCCTATAGCAAAAACCTCTAACTCTAAAAAAAAAAAAAAAGTATAAAAAAAAAATACATTGCACTTTACAGAAGGAACTTTACGATGCCATCGTAACTGCAAGCTCTCCAGATGTTGGCCTGCCCCACACCCTGTCACCTGCTCTGCTCCTCTGTGGGACCCTGAGGAGATCCTCCTCTCCTGCAGAGCCCCATCTCCGTAATGTCACTACTGCAAAGGAAACTGCACGTGCCACGAGAGAGCGGGCCTGACATACCCATAGCGCAATGCACCCTGAGGCTAACCCACAGTGGCTCAGAAGGTGCGTTACAAGCATCTTACCTCGATTTTTAAAAAGTTAGAGGGCAGTGGCAAACCCTACCACTGCCCAACAAGCTGAAAACTCACATTCACACAGAAAGCTGCGCACGGGTGCTGCCAGCGACTTTCTTCATAATTGGAAAGCTCAGATGCACCGCGATGCCCAGCACAGATGGACAGATAAACGTTGTACACTCAACAACGCAGCGTTACTCAGCCGCGGAAAGGAGTGAGCCGTCGGGCCAGGAAATGGCGTGACATCGTAAACGCGGGTGCCGGGTCAAAGCAGCCAGGGAAGAGCCGACGACTGTGCACTTCCAACTGCACAGCGCTCCAGGGAGGTGGGAACGTGTGGCAGGAAACACACCTGCTGCCCAGCGCTCGCGGCTGCCGGGCGCAGGCCCCTTCGCAGGAGGCCGGCATAAGGGCACGGCACTTGGCCCTGGCGCCAGGAGCTAGTCCTGTGAGTGTGTCCATTGTCTCAGACACCCAGCAGGCTGGATGTCAGTGGCGGGAACTGCCCAGGGAGGGGGTACAGTGGGACTAGGGGGCTTTCTGGGCCTGTTCTCGTTCTCTAAACCTTAAACTGCTCCAAAAGAATTGCATCTATTAACTTTAGAACTTTTTTAAATCGAACAATTTAGAAAGAGAGAGGAACATCTGTGAAAAGACGCTCATCCTCAGCAGCAAAGACATGCTGGTCTGCCCCAGTGTCCTGCTCCGCCTGGAAGGGAGCGGGAACCCAAACAAATACTGCACTCTCTGGGAAGGGGACATGCAGTCGTCACTGGGAAGGAAAGATATTTTTTTTCTTGGAGAGGTTTTTGCTATAGGGCACATGCACTCACCAGAAAGAGAGAGACAGAGAGACAGAAAGTGAAAAATCAGCAGCATAAATTTAAGCCACCAGGTCTAGGACTCAAACCACAGTCAACTACATGAGAATCCAGCGACATAGCCATTACACCATCTGCTGATCCTGGAAAAGAAGAGTTTTTAAAAATAAATATATCATGGGCCCAGCAGGTGGAGTGGTGGCTAAGGCACTGGACTTCCACATTGGCAACCACAGTTCAAATCCCAAACCTGGTGACTTGCTTTCTCATTTTCCTTTTCTCTCTCTCTCTCTCTCTCTCTCTCTCTCTCTCTCTCTCTCGTCACATTAAAAAATAAATAACACATAAAATTAAATAAAGGGGACCAGCAGTTAGTGTAATGGCTATGTCGCTGGACTCCCACATAGTCGACCACGGTTCACGTCCCGGACCCGGTGGCTTAAAATTCACACTGGGCACGTGTGCGTGCGTGCCCAAGATCCTGAGAGGAGAATGGAGGAGAAGGGATTGAGGCGTGGCCATCCCCCCTGGGGGGGTGATTTCTCGCTTTCTGTCTCTCTGTCTCTCTCTGTCTGTC